AATTGACTCAACTATTTGGAAGTGTGGCTGCAACTGGACCACAAGCATGGGCACCTTCTTCCATGACACTTCCAAGTGAAGGAACACCGAATGAAGATTTGGAAGAAGGGTCCGGAGATAGTGATGAAATTTTAGGTGCACCAACTGGTATAAGTGGGGAATTTAACACAGTGAACTTCAATGATAATAGTGGAGGTAGTGGAGGCAACACTGAATTGAGGCAGGATACCAGTGGTGGGGGTACAAGCAGAGGTAGGAGTCGACCTAGTAGCTCACTGGGGGTCAGAAGGAAGAGTGAAGTCAAGAAGAAACGCACATCTCCCTCTATGAAAATAGCGGATGCAATTAGCAAGATTGCTGAAACAAATACTTCTGAGGCCGAGCGTGGAAATGAGGTCATTTCACGAGCAGAAGCTAGAAGGTTGGAAGAAGAAGCGCGTGCTTATGAGGTTTCAATTAGGGGAGTCCTGTCTCACCTGAAAACAGTTCCTGAAGTTGTCAGTGATCCTGATTTCTTTAGACGGTGCACACAACTCCTTATGGAACGGCAGGATGCACGAGAAATGTATGCAGCTCTGAAGGATCAGAAGGAACAGCTTCTACTCATTTTAGAGCATTTTACTAGGGATTTATGACTTGTTTATTATATTAGACAGTTCCATATGTGTATGTTTTATGTGACCAGTGGATTGTTATATGAATCAGACAACTCTGTAACTTTTATAAATGTTTCGTAATTTCTACGTAGGAATTCTAAACTTTATGTGTATGTGCACAGGATAAAACGAATATGGATGATGAAATTAAACATGTGGAAGAGCATGCTAAGGGACGGAAAAAAAGAGTTAACAAAGTTGCAGCATTGGTTGGTGCATACGCTACTTTGAACTTGTGTAAGGAGCCTCGGCATACAAGTGCTTATACAGGCTGCATATGGGTAAGGGATGTTTTAGATGGCAACTCCAGTCGTTGTTATAACATGTTTAGGATGGAACGGGATGTGTTCTTAAGTCTGGTGGAACAATTGCAACAACATGGTCTAAAAGAAACTAAAAATATAGGGATACATGAATCAGTTGCAATGTTTTTACATACCGTTGGGCATGCACTTAGTAGCAGAATGCAGCAAGAAAGATTTCAACATTCAGGGGAGACAATTAGCAGACATTTTCATAATGTCCTAATGGCATGCTGTAGACTTGCCATGTCTAATATCAAACCAAAAGATCCAACATTCCGGCATGTTCATACAAAAATTCGGTTTGGTAAATACTGGCCTTTTTTTAAACATGCTATTGGAGCAATTGATGGCACACATGTTTCTTGCGTTGTCAGTGCAACAGATCAAACTAAATTTATCTCTAGGAAAGGAACAGTGTCACAAAATGTCATGGCGGTTTGTGATTGGGACATGTGTTTTACTTTTGTCTTGGCCGGATGGGAAGGTAGCGCACATGATGCTCGGATATTTGATCATGCCCTCACAACTCCTTCAATGAACTTTCCCCATCCACCTGAAGGTATTTTTTTATTTTCTATATTTTTTTTTATATTTAGCTTAACAATAGAAACATAATTTACAATAATTTCATTTTTTATATAGGAAAATATTATTTGGTGGATGCTGGATACCCAACACCGAATGGATATCTCGGCCCATACAGACGGGAGCGTTACCATTTGCCTGATTTTCGAAGGACATCTGGGTTTGAAAATGACAATGAAATCTTTAATTATTTCCATTCAAGTTTAAGGAGTACAATTGAAAGAACTTTCGGAGTTTGGAAAAAAAAGTTCGCAATCTTACAAAACATGCCATCTTATGATTTTGAAACACAAGTTAAAATCGTTTGTGCAACGATGGCTATACATAATTTTATTAGAATGACATCTATTACTGATCCTGGATTCGTTCAGTTGGAAGAAGAAGGTACTTATGCAGAAGATGATGATGATGGGGTTAGATTTTCACGTATACATTCATCAATTCAATCTTCATCTTACATGGCTCAGGTTCGTGACAGCATAAGAGACGAACTTGTTAATTCAATACGAGGATAGTTGTCATGTCTTATTTATTTCCTTTTATCATAGATTGTAATATGTAGTTAAAAACAAAATCTATTACAAATGCTTTGTATCGATGCATCATCTTAATGATTATGACACTTCTTTATTTATATTTCTCTTATTAATATTATGCCTTATATTCTCAAGCTAATTATTACTTACTTGAATAATTAATAAATTATTTTAAGACGTGTTTATTCTATTTTGCAACAAAATAATTCATCTTCTCTAAAAATATTTTTCACTCTTATATTTTATGAATATATGTGTGTGGTGACAATTAATTAATTAATTGTATTAAACATCAGAGGTTATTATACATGTAGTTATGAAAAAATGTTATGGGATTTCACGTTTACAATCTTTAAACAAAATTAATATTTTTCTGTTCTAAAAAAAAGCATTTTTCTATAAACATTTAATATTATGTTTTATAAATATATGTACACATATTAATTATGTATTAATTATATTATCTTATATATTATTAATTATGTTAGTAAAAATTATTTCATTAACAATTTTATTTCTTCAAATCAAAATAAATCATAAAATCTATCCCTTATATAATTATCATATTAACTTATACCCTTTTTGGTCATTTCCACATGTCAAAAGCACTTCTGGTAATAACTATCCAAACACTCTCACTTCTCAGAATCACTTTTTCTCAGAATCTATTCTCCACAGAATCTATTCTCCACAGAATCTATTCTCCAGAATCACTTTTCCAAACCACGGTTTGAAGTCATCCAAACACACCCTAAAACCCGATAAGACTTAGGATGTTACAATGCTCCTTCCAGGAGATTATTCGACAGCATGTCTATAGAGGATTGTTCATTTGACAAAATTTGAAAAATTAATTACCAAATATTATTTTAAAATACAAAATTTATTTGAAAAAATAATTAAAATTTTTCCTAAAATAAGAGTTTCATATCTAGTTCTGAGAAAATGGGCCCACTATTCATGGGTTGCCAGGTTAAATAGGATAATCTCATTTAGTCCAGCATTTGAAAATGTATCTATGAAACCCAGCCCTTATATATGTCGGCTCAGGCTGGCCTACAGGCTTTCAGATTGTTTAATTTTTTTTTTGTATATTTTGATTTTCTTAAAAGAAAAACAATAAACATCATAAAGCTGAAACTTCCAATCATTAATATTACTAAAACAAAATGTTAAATTGTTATTCAGATTTTCAAAACTAAAAAAAATCATACAAGTTAAATACTAAATGATAGCAATATCATCAGTATGAATTTTATCACTATCTTTAATATCAGCAATATTTGATTTCACTTTACTAAGAATAAGTTGTTCTTTAGCGACAAAAATATCAAGGTTTTCTACTTGAAATAAAATTTACTTTCCAGCTTTGTAATCTAGTTATTATTTTATTTTTATTTGAAATACATTAAAGTTGAAATTCAAATTTTCAATTCGAGTTATAGAATCACAAGTTATATAAGTATAAAAATATTTTCTTGCCAAATATGTATAGTTTAGAATATTAAAATATATAATATAAATCAAATCATTATTTAATGTCTAAGTTAACTCATTTTTTTGAAGTTCAATAAAACAAATCATTATCTAAACCCAAATAAATCAAATTATTTTACAACATTCAACTAAACATTTAAAATATCAGTAACGATATAAAAAAACCATATTAACATCATATAAATAATTTTAAAAAAAATAAAAAAAATAAAATAGTCTAAATGGGTTGGCCACTGGGTTGATAGGCCCGTACAGGCCATCGACTCATTAGGACTAACCTTTTTAGGCTTGCTTATAATTTAAGAGGCAAATCACAAGCCCAGCTTTTTTAGATTCGACCCGTTTTTTCAGTTCTCGCATCTTTTTGAATATCAAGAAAATAATACCCATAAACTTTGCGTCATTAGTCAAGTCAACGGGTCAATATGGGTCCACGGAAATAATAACATGGGAAATGCGGAGCCGTAATGAGCCATCGCATTTGAATGACAGAAGGTGAAGAACGCATGAAGCTGCTTGTTGGAATAAACGTACTTGGTTCAATAGTTCTTTTATCACTTCTCACTTCACAAATTACTCAAAACATTATATTACTAACTACTAGTAAAATTAAGTCCATTTTTAAAAAAAAAAATTTGAAGGGATAAGCATTAACCGGAAAAAGTTACAACTCTCAACGTTTCATTTACCAAGGACCTTTTATGTCACTGAGATACAACAAGATTGACAAATTTTATCAATTGTGAATGTAATGTATTGAATTATAGACAATGTTGCTTATAGTAGACTATTTTCTCTAGTCCCTAATATAAGATCCAATAGACTAATTTGAAAAAATTAAAAAAATTAAAAAATTATTTAATTATAGCATATATTATATAATCACTTTAAAATATTTATGTCTATCATTAGACTGTATACCAATTTATAAGTAGGGTAAATTAGTTTAAAAAATAACGATAAATATAATACTTTAAAGTAATTTATATTTAATTTTCTTAATATTCTCAAATTAGTCACCAAACTAACTGAACTTTATATTAAGAATTAAAAGTAGTATTATTATTCTGAAGCATGTACATAGAGGATAGAGAGTATATTTTAATCAATACTAAAAATCTGAGTTTCCACTGTAATTTGGAAAATCTTTTTTTTTTAATTTCTACATAAATACATGAACATCTAGATCTTAGTGCGTGAACTGTATATAAACTTATTTAGTCTATATAACTTACTGATATTGAAAGGGGAAAATATCAAAATTAATTTTATAATTCTTTTTTATTCCTGGCGAAAAGGTAGAAGCAAGCTTAAAGATAAAATTACACAGAAACACAAAAATCAAAACAAATCAAATGAAAGCCATATGAAATTAAATTGCGACATCTTGTTCGCTTTTGTTTCCTAGCAAAGTGATGATGTCAAATAGAATCAGGAGATGGACAAGGAGGAATAGCCACTTCCGTAACTCCCTCAAGCATCAACACCACGCTTTTCATCGATGGCCGAAGAAAAGGTTCATCTTGAATACACCATAACCCCACTTTCACCATATTCTCCAGTAAACTAATATCCACTTCTTCCCCAACAACCAGCTTGTTTAGCTCTCGCCGAGCAAAGCACTTGTACACCCAATTGGACAGAACAATTTGCTCTGGATTTGACATGTTCACCACTAGGCTTTTTCTGCAAAATACAATCTCCAAAAGCATTACTCCATAGCTATAAACATCTGCTTTCACTGTTATTGGAGATGATGGGCATTGCTCCTCCTGAATTTCGTCCTCAATGTAAGGGGGATCAACCCAAGCCATATTGGTCATGGGGTACATGGAATGTAAAGTCATATTATCTTTCCCTCCTTTACATTCTGCTTCTAAGAAGTTCCTTTTGCATCCAAGATTCTTATGACTTGGATCTATAAAATCAGTTCCGGGAAGACAATTGCAACCTGGCTCCATTTCATTGGTGGTACAATAGCTATTGAACCCGAAAAATGTCTTCACGTTGCACTGATTGTCCAACTCTGATGGTGACCACAACTTTCTAACTTGATGTTTTCGATTTGCGTCTTCGAAATGAGCATAGAGTCGTAAAACTCCATCAAAATCAATAGTTGCACGGTAAGCAGTAGTTTTGTTTCCTTTGAAGCTGCTATCGCCCATCTTCCTGAGTATGTTTTGGCCTGAAGTACTACTGGCATTTACAATACATAGAGGCTGAGAATCTGTGTTGTTGACGAAAAGATAATATTTGGAAATAGTGTCATAACCAGTATTCGAGGCCCAGTAAGGATCCCAACTTGTGTCACCAGAATATCGTGGGTACAAAACAAGGTTTCCATCAGCCTGCATTGAGAGTTCAAATCTTCCAGAAGAATGGTTGGTGTCTGATGAACTAGACACTAATTGATGCCTAGAAGGTAGAGTTTGACCCCCTAACATAGTATCGGTTGGGTAATCAAAACTCTGCCAAAGGATGTGTAAACTTTTATTTCGTAGAACAAAGTTTCCAGAATCAAGCATTGAAGCATAGAAAATAGTTCCATTGTTACTATGAGCAATAACCTTCTTTTCCCCTGGACCTGTTTGCAGAAGAAGCTCACCATTTTTGGTTAGAACAAGACTTGCATTTAAGAAGACGGGAGGGTCATCATGATTTGCAGTCCAGACGATTGTCTTATTATTCCCAGATAACCAGATTCCAACTTTGAAGCCATTGCCTTGCTTGTAAAACCCAAATGCAAATCGACCTGAAGGTGAAGGCAATGCAGTGGGAGGAACAGAGGGGGAAAGTGAAGAGCCAGGCTATATGTGTTGTGTAAATACAGTTTCACACAGAAAATATACCAAAAAGAGAAGGTGGATGCTTGATGCAATGGTAGCCATGGCCACTAAAATCTCACAGAACTGCAGAATTGCTGATAAATTAAAAGGATTGGTGAAATGGTGGCCATAATCTCAAAGTCTTCCAAGTCTTCCCCAAAAGTGTTGAGAAGTTACCAATCTGTTAATTACTGACTGTCCATCGTGACTAATTCGTCCCCACCGGAAAATGACTAAGGAAGACGTACAAATTACGTCCAACTGTCCAAGTCAAAGATATGTTACAGCAATAATGCATTAATATTATTGTAGCAACAATCGCGGTATGACCCTGACTTTTCTTTTCAAAGTTTTTTTTAAAAAAAAAAATTAATTTCACTCTAGAGGGCAACACGTACAATTTTGTATTACAAGGAGTTTCAAAAATTGGTTTCCATCTACAAAAATTAGGATATTTTATAAACAAAAGTATAAATTATAATCAATTTCCTTGAACAGAGTCATATGCAAATAACCCTAGTTTTTATAACTTAACAAGAAACCCATTAGGGCCTGTTTTGTAGGAAGAATTAATTGTAATGGAAATGAAGAGAATGAAATAAAAAGGAAAGGAATAGAAAAATTCTGAGCTAACTTGTTTTGTACGAGTTTAAATAAAAAATGATTTGATAGAAAGATTTATGTTCTGTAAGATGAAAATTATGATGAAATGGAAAAAAGTGAGGACCGAATGATTTGATGCCGTCGATTTAAAATAATACTAAAATAATAAATTACTTGTTACTAAAATAAAAATGTTAAAATAATTATTTATGAATATAGTTATTAACGAAATATATCAAAAGAAGTATTAATTATAATTTTATTTATTATTATAAATTATGAATAAATATAATAAATCCTGATGCACCTCTCCAACAAACCAAATAAATAAAAAAAAATCATTAGGAATCCAAGAAAAACAAGAAATCATCAGATCAAAATGATCCAAATCAAATCCACGATTCAAAAACAAGAACAAACAGAAAAATGATGGAGATTGACGTGGCTTAACAAAGCTAGGGAAAATAGAGAGAGAGACAGAGACAGAGACAGAGAAGTTCGGCAGAAGACCACGGAAGCAATCCAAAAACATACTGTAAAAGATGTGCAGGAGCGAGGAGGAGGGGGGGGGGGGGGAATTAGGGGCCATGTGGTAATTTTCTAGGTGGCCAGGAAAAAGATGTGTTTTTTTTTCTTTACCATCGGTACATTTTCCAGCTATCATATTAATGGCCCCTTAAACTTTCTAATTTATGCTTATAATCCTTCTTGCTAGCAATTATTCGGTTTATTGCACTAATGAAACATAATATGCTAGTAACTAACTAAATATCCCTCTAAACTTTATTTTCACTCAGATAACAGGCTCAGTTTAAATTATATATAAATATATTATCTTAATTAGTGAAATAATAGACGAACTAACAACAATCAAATTGACGTGTCCGGAGTCAGATCAGATGCAATTATCAATCACAAGCTTAGACATAATGAAATTACGTAGCTATCAAATTATGGAATGAAACGTCTTATTTGCAATGACCAACTTAAATCTTTTACATAAATTGATTCCAACTCGATTAATGAATAATTCAGCCATATAAATATTACTCAAATTATCAAGCAAGCTTATGCAAAAAGCTCCATATTTTTGAAGATTATCAAGAAAGTGGGATCGGAGATAGAGGAATTGGAATATGTTTCAACCCTTCCAGCATCAGTATCACATTCTTCATGGAGGGACATAGAGACAAGTCCTCTTGGACACATCATAACGCCACCTTCACCATTCTTTCTAATGTCGTCCATTCTACATCTTCATCCACTAATACTAGTTTCTTCAATTCCCCTCTCACAAAGCAATTATACACCCAACTTGAAAGAATAATTTCCTCTTCTAAAGGAACATTCACATCTATATTCCTTTTGCAACATATGATCTCTAACAGCACCACGCCATAGCTGTAAATGTCAACTTTTATAGATGTCGACGCATCTTTTTGTTGCTCAAGTGCCACATAGCCACTTGTTAATTCATTGATACTTCTGATTCTTGAATGTTCTGGCATTGATGATAGCCTTGCAAGTCCAAAATCAGATATTTTTGCCGTCCACATTTCATCCAAGAGGATGTTTTGAGGCTTGATATTGCAATGGACAATACAAACTTCACATTCTTCATGCAAATATAGGATTCCTCTTGCTATATCCAATGCAATTTTGACTCTTTGTTTCCAAGATAGATGCGTCTCAGCCTTGAACAGAAAATCTGCTAAAGATCTATTGCTCATGTATTCATAAACAAGAAGCTTTCTTGAACTATCAATACAATAACCAATGAGTTGAACCAGATTTCTGCGATGAGTTCTAGCACTTACAGTGATTTCAGCTTGAAATTCTCTTTCCCCTCCATCAATGACAATGTCTAGTTTCTTCACTGCAATCCTTCTATTGCTTTCTGCAATTGTCCTTTTGTAAACCCCAAAAGATCATCTACCAATCTCTTCTGTAAAATTTCCTGTTGCATTCGCCAATTCATCAAAGGCAAAAGTTCGCAAACCACAATCCTCAGCGAACCCCAAATTTTTGCTACTGGTGGAGATCTTTGTGTATGAATAGACTTTACGGATGTAAATGAAGAAACTAGATATTGCAAAGACCAAACAGAGGAATGAAATCGTACCTAGAGTGATAACCAGAGTGAAAATAAGATTTTTCTTGTCATCAACAAGAACCTCTGGCTTCATTACATTGAGGGGAATCTTATTTGTTGAAGGCAACTTGAAGAGGGCCATGGTTGATACAGTATTATTAATTCTGCGAAATATAAGCGGAAGCGTAAACATTTTGCAGATTCCATCATCATATAACGCTGCCCGACAATCACAGTCTCCACTGCAAGACTTCCCACAAGCTTCCCTTTCCAGTGGCATGGCCAAATAAGGAAAAAGACCCCATTGCATATGTTGGAATGGCTTACTTACATTGTATACCATCTTTGGATCTTTTTTAGTTTTACAGTCATATTTGCTGGTTGGTTCAATGTCCAAAAACATGCTTTCATCATTCACATTATTGATGGGTGTGAATCCAGGGTAACAATGACAAACACCTTTGCCAGTGATGGAGGAACAATAACTGTTGAAGCCACAAATACCATTGACACCACATTGATAAAAAAGATTTTCCCACACAAACTGGACAGTTGATTTGGAATTCCTCCCAAATATGTGCACATACAATCTAAATATCCCATCCACATCAAGTGTTGCACGGTAGGCTAGGCTTGTGTTATACCCAGAAATGTTACTATGCCCCAAAACCCGTAAAGTAGTAATTGCTCATATCAACCAAGCAAAGAAACGCCGTAAGATTAACACTATGTTTTGTACGGGTTTTCAGAGAGGAGGGGAGGGAATTGCTCCCTTCTCCTTGTTTGGCTAATACAATTTTTTAGGAAGGGAGGGGAGTTGCTCCCCTCCCCTTGTTTGATTATGACAATTTTTAAAGAGGGGAGGGACTCTTCTCCCCTCCTCTTTTCTTCTAGCCTCTCCTCCAGAAGTGGGGTTTTTTGGAAGGGAGATGAGAGATAATATTTTAATTCTTCTTACACCCTTTCGATTTGTTAACCTCTAATCTGTCGTAAACATTTCTACATAAGAGAGTTCTTTTGAACATTTAGCAAGAGATTGATAAGATAATTATCTCCAAAATTAGTGAGCATTTGTAAACTTTTTTTTTCTCCTAATTCCAAGAGGTCATCGGTATTCTCTTTCACCTTCAAGGTCTTTTCTCTGATTGAAACCTATCACTCATGACTTTTTACCTTGATATCCTATAAATGTGTGACTATGTCTTATAAGTCAAAATTAGTGAATTGCATTATATATATAGTTATGTCTTGATAAAATAAAAAAGTAAGAAAATTCATTTAAATTTTATGAGGCTAAAATAGTCAATTTTTTATTAGAACAAAATAAGGTATCATTAAAATTACTCCCTTCCCTCCCCTACATTCAATCCAAACAGGAGATCATTAAAATCTCCTCCCTCCCTTCCCCCTCCCCTCCCCTCCCCTCCCCTCCCCTTTATATCTACCCTCCCCTTTCCTCTCCTTCTCTTCCATTGATTAAAATCCCTCTCCTCCTCTTCTCTCTTCATTCGCAAAAGTCATGGAGGCATAGTAAGCGTCATCTCCCCTTTGATAGTTCACAGGGTAGGCCACAAGATTCCCATCATTCTGCATGATTAGAATGAAGTTTCCACTCGAGTGGTCGGATCTGGACAAAGAAGAGACCAGATTTTGTTGAGGAGATAAAGTTTGACCTCCTAATATGGTGTCAGTGGGGAGATCGAAGCTTTGCCAGATAATACTTTGATTTTTATCGTAAATCATCACGAAATTGCCCGAATCAAGCATAGACGCTGAATCTGCAGGCACTGGAAGTGACGAATTAGTAATGAGTCTCCTTTTCCCTCTCTCGTCATGACGCAGAACTGGGCCGTCTTTAGTTAACTCGATCACAGAATCAGATGATAATGGTGGACTGTTGCGATGAGGCGTCCATACAGTTATATTCTCATGTTCATGCCTCAGCCATATTCCAACAACAAAGCCTTCACCTTGTGGGTAAAAGCCGAAGGCGAAATGACCAGAGGGTGACACCCACGAAGTGGAATTTGATTTTGTGGAGAGCCGAGAATCCAAACGAATGATGCTGGGATCATTGGCTTCAGCTATAACTTGGTTTGCAGAAAGCACCGCGAAGAGAAAGAACAGAGTTCTGGACACTACAAAAAAAAAAGACTTTAGGTGACGACTTTCAGCGATGACAAAAAAAATCATAATTGAAAGTTTCAGCGGCGACACCAGAAAGTTGTAGAACTTTCAGCGGCGACTTTTCTAGTCGCCATTGAAAGTTTGCGGCTGAAACTAAGACTTTAAGCGGCTTTGCTACTGAAACTAAGACTTTCAGCGGCGCTTTTTTTGTTGCCGCTGAAAGTATACCTTTGAGAATCATTAGATTCACTTTCAGTGGCGACATTCTATGGTCGCTGCTGAAGGTCTGACTTTCAGCGGCGACTTTAT